CCACATACATACACACTGTGTGTACATGCACTGTATACACACATACACACAGCCATATACACGTGTCATACATGTGCGTACACACCACACACCTCATACCATGTGTACACATCATGTACATGCACATGTATGCTGTATGCATTACACACGGCCTGTACATGTACACACATGTACACGTGCCATCATGTGCACACATTTCATACCATGTATATACTACACCACAGGTAGACCTGCATGCAAACACACCCCCCACACACATACATATGCCCTGTGTGTACATGCATACACACTTGACATACATATACATGCACTGTATCTGTGCACACACACCATAGCATGTCTGCACCACACCACACAGACACCACAGAGGCACTCACAGACATGCTACCCCACATATGTGCTACATGCCACATGTGTGCACGCCCACACCCGCACACTCTTATGTTCTGGCCAACCTCAGAGTTGTTCTGGGGGCCAGCCTGGAGTCCTTGGCCACCAGACCATGGTGGGCAGGGCAGTCTCAGCCCGGCAGACAACACGCACGCTCTGCTGACATCCTCCCTTCTAGAAGTTTCCTGGAGTCTGGCGGCCTCTATTCCATGTTAGACTGTGGGTGTCGTGGAGCAGGCACAGTGGGTGGTCTTGGGGTGGAGGGGTGGGTGAGCGGCACTGCAGGAGCCCTGGGTGCCTGACTGGGATCCCCCGCCTCCCGCAGGCTGGCCCTGGGCGCCCGCTCTCTTCCCTTTATGGCCGCTAATGGTTCTTTATTTCTTCCAGGGCTCATGCTCCAGCCACTTAAAAATTTAATAAGCCAGACAGCAGCCACATCCCGGGTTGCGAGGGCTCCTCTCTGAGAGGAGTGATCTCACAGACGGCCAGGGCCGACTCATCCTGATTACTGAATGTTTTAGAGAATCGAGTCAGTAAGCCGATTGCCAGGCTGAACGCACGCGTGCAAGATAGCTGGCGGCAGGGGGCCACCACCGGGGAGGCGCACGTGGCCCTGGATCCTACCTTGGGCTTGCCCCAGGGGAGCTGCGGGGATGAGAAGGCATGGGTGCAGAGTAGCTTGGGGGCCTCCAGGGTCGGCCCTTGGGAAGGCAGTCCCGTCCCCAGGTGTGCACACGGGACCTTGCTTTCTCATCTCAGCTCTGTGCAACCCTGTCCCCCCTCTCCCCTCCAGAGTCTTTATACCCTTGCTGCTTGGAATATGCCTTTAGATCTACTTGAGCGAGATTCTGCATGAATCAATACCTGTGGGCAGGCACACACCAGGTGCCATGTGCTCTTCAGGTGGTCGTAACAGCAGGTGGTCATAACAGCAGGTGGTCATAGACTATTCAGAAGGCCAGGTGTGCCTCGGGGTCAGGTGCGCACCAGATGGTCAGGTGTGCCCAGACGGTCCAGGTGTACCTTAGGTGAGCCGTGGCCCCTCAAGGGTCAGGGGCACCGCAGACGAGCAGCCACTTCCCTGAAAGGCAAGGACGTAACAGGCCACAGCAGAGCCTGGGAGGGCAGGCACCTTGGGTTCCCTTAGGCGCTAAGAACAGCCTCTTTTTTTTTTTTCCTTTAAGTTTTTGCCATAGGGTGCATGCGCTCACTGAAGAGAAATGGAGAGAGAGAAAGTGAGAAATCATCCCCTGGGGGGATGGTCATGCTGCATTCCCTTCTCCTCCTGGGATTTGGGCACATACGCACGCACCTGGTGTGGTTTTCAAGCTGTTGGATCTGGGACTTGAACCACATGTGGCCATGTGGGAGTCCAGTGCCTTAACCACCATGCCACGTGCTGGCCCAGCCTCTTCTTTCTTGTCAGCCTTTTTGGGAAAAAGTCAGTGTGGAAACAGCACCTTGTCCACTAGGGAAAACCGTGGCAGGACTGCCGCTCCGGAAGGCTAGCAGCCCCGCGGGGGCGAGCGGCCTGGTGACTGTGCTCCAAGCCTAGGCGAGGGTCCGAGCCCTTCCATGGGCGGTGACTCCTACCCGTAGTCGTCGCCCCTGTGGTGTGAGCGGTGGGATACGGTTCCAGGCACCTTCGGAGGCTGGCTCCATCTTACAGACAGAAGTGAGGGTACAGGTTCGGCCCCCGCACAGAGTGACACAGCTGGTGAGCGCTGCCCTGAGCTCGAACCCGGGCTGCCGCTGTCTGTGTGATGAAGGGCAGGCAGGTCAGGACCAGTTGGGACAGAGTCAACCGAGGTACAGACCTGGGGAGGGAACATGGAGCAGGGAGCCCCAGCATGTCCTGGGGTCCTGAAAGCCAGTCCTGGCCCAGTGAGGTGTGGCGGGAGTGCATCCCTGAGGCCAGCAGCAATGTCCCCTGAGGGCTTGGGGCACCTTCCCATTTGCAGTGGGGTGACCAGAGCAAGATGATGGAAAGAGAGACATCATGGGGACTACTGTTTGTAAAACAGGATGCATGGAAGGACAGTTTGGAAAATTGCCGGGACAGGTAGATCTACGGGGTAATGGTTACGTTGCTGGGTTTCTCTGTAGTAGACTGCAGTTTGAGTCCTGGACCTGGCAGGTTCAAACTCATGTTGGGCACCTGTGCATACATACCCCAAATCCCCAGAGAAAGATGGAGAAGGGGTTGCAGTGTGGCCACCCCCTCTGGGGGGGTGATTTCTCGCTTTCTGTCTCTCTGGCAAGCGCACACACCCTATAGCAAAAATCTCTCTCAAAAAAAAGAGAGAAAATAGCCAATGATACGAAAGAAAACCCAGGAAGAGTCTGGAGGAGAAACGTGTTTTAAAATGCCCCTGAGGCTCCACCTCCCAGAACCGGGTCCCACTGGCGGGCGTTCCGGTGTCTCTCCAGGAGGTCGGGGGCCCGGGTGTGCAGTGGGTGTCCGAGCCAGCCCCAGTGCTCTTGTGCAGCGGGTGTCTCAGCCAGCGGGCACCGCTGCCGGCCAGGGTTGGGACCAGGGCTGTGAGAGTGGGCTGGTGTGCTCCCGCCCTGGCCGGCCCGAGCCCTCGTGGCTGCCTTTCTAGATGGATCCACTCTCAGCTCGGTGGTGTCCTGCTTTCCCCTGTAACTGACATTCTGTGCTCGCTCACACTAGTCAGTGAGCGCCAGCGTGTGCGGCATGCACTGCTGCAGGCCACGCTGTGACACCACTGTTTACGTAACTGGCTCCTGGTGAGTACACACTTAGGTGATGACGGTTTTTTAAGTTTGTTTATTTTTTCTTTTTTAAAATAATTATTTTATTTAACTTTTTAATATTTTTATTTTAATTTGACCCAAGAGGACCAGAGAGTGAGAGAGAAAGAGAGAGGTGGAAAGTAAGCAAGCAAGCCTCTAGGTCTGGGACCCAAACTGCAGTCAGCCGCGTGGACCTTCAGTGCCCTTCACCACCACGCCACCTGCCGGCCCCAGTTTATTTTCTGTAAGAGGAAGAGAGGTGAGCAGCCACTACGGTCTGGCCACAGCGTGGCCTCTGCCTGCCGTCCTCCAGGCTGTCGGGCCTTGGGCACTTGTGTATACCCGGTGTGTTTCTGGCTGACTGGGCAGGGGGTTTGAACTGCTGTCGCCATGGAGGATCTGGGTTCTCTAGAACAGCGTTTGCTCACTGCTGTACACAGAGCTGGCTGTTACCGGGTCATCAGAGCCTGGTCCCCCAAGGGGCCTGGGTCACCCCGCATGGACATAAACACCCTGGACGGGCATAGTGACCGAGACCAGGCAGAGCCTGTCTCCCTCCCTCCCTCCCTCCAGGCACCAGAGCCCATGGCCAGCCGCCCCGAGCTGCCCTCCTGCAGCTCCTCTCCTGGGCCTGCGAAGGCGTGGACTGTCGACCCTAGACACCGGCAGCACCCTCCCTAGAGGGGCAGCCACAGTGAGCTGCCACCCGCTCACGAAGGGAGCGTCACGTCAGACCTGGCTGTGCAGGAGGGCCTGGGGCCTGGAGCCCACCTGGGCTGGAGGGACGGCTCTGTGCAGGTGGGTGGAGGCATTCTTCTGTGCAGGAGCCTCCAGGGGCTGGGATAGGTGCCCGAGTTTCTGGCCTGCAAGTTGGGAGTGCATTGTTAAAGACTGGCCTGTGGTTCCGAAATTCCATGGTCTGGGCTAACCTCCTGGTAATCCCTTGCCTGCCGGTGACTGAAGCCTTCCTGGCACCTCTGTCACCTGCAGACACTGCAGATGTGACCCACCCTCTTGACCTGGAGCTACACTCGTTGGCCAGGCCCGGATGGATTTGCCAACAGTGCTGCAGGTCAGTGCTGTGGCCTGACCGCGTCCGGGCAGAGTGGCCGCTGTGCAGCCGTGTGGTCGCAGTTTCCAGTAAGGCTTCCTGTTACTCGGTGGCTCAGAGTCAGCGTGACACCAGATGGACCCACGTTCTCCTGAGTGGGGGCTTCCGTTGGTGCATTATCAAATGCCGCCTTGGGCCTTCCGCGGCCTCCATCTGCCAGCGTGCCTCCGCGCCCTGCGGTGTGAGCCCTGTTCCGTGCTCAGCCTCGTCCGTGCTCGGTGCTGGGCCCAGGTCGGGGCCACTGCCTCCTTTGTCCCACGCCCAGGGGTGCTGAGAGAGGACGGCACGACGGTGCTGGGGCCACCTGTGCCATGTGAGGTGTGTGAGTGGGCTCCTCTGTCACAGGCCGCCTGGCCGCAGGGGCCTCGGGAGCAGGGCTGAGCTCCTGCAGGGCCACGCCGTCGTCAGGCTGAGGAGGGGCCGCCGTGGGGGGAGGGACAGCATGGTTTATTGTGGTGTAAGAACGTTCTAGAACCTTTCTGGGTGTTGTGGTTGGTTGGGTTCCTGTGACTTGGGCAGATAAGCTTCTGGCTCAAGTGGGGGGTCAGCTCTGCCTTGTCCGTAGGTCCTCCTCCTGGCGAGCCCAAGGGTCCCAGGTGAACAGAACAGCCTCCTCCTGTGCCCTGCAGACAGCGCAGCAGCCAGCTGCCCTGGCGCCGGGCCTTCGGCCTGGAAGCTGACCATGCCTTGCCGTTGGGTGATGGTGACTCAGCTCTTTCCCCTGTGACCATCTTGTCCCTCACATCTGAATCATCTGGAAGGTGACACACAGCTCAGAAGAGGAGTGCCCTCGCACACCCGGAACTGTCTGCGTGCTGGAGGGAGGGCCGTCCTCACTGGGGCCCTGCCGGGCTCACAGACCCGAGCGCCCCGGTCTGGGATCTGGGCACCACCAGCTGGGGATCCTGGGTCAGCGGGACTGGCCCGGCGCCGGTCAGCAGGACCATCACGTCCCCACTGCGTGGCTCCTCCTGCGGTGGGTCCTGCCTGGGCCTCTTGCTGGGAGGACAGCAGGGCCGTCCCAGGCCACGGGTGGCATGTGTCCCCAAACACCCTCCTCACGCAGTTGCCATGTAGCACCTGTGCCAGTCGGGGCAGCAGACGGGAGTCACGAGGGTGTTTTAAGTTGTCCCCGTCTCATGACTCCCTTGAGAAGGGACGGAGCTGCTGGGCCGGGAGGGATCTAGAGGCCTGCGAACTGCCTTGGGAGCGGGGCTGTGGCTAAGCGGATTCGAGGGCTGGCCGTAGCTGGCCGTAACCTGGAGCAGAGGGGATCGGCCCTAATCCAGTATCGGCTGACAGCGCCCCGCTAGGCTGTTCCTTGGCAGTTCGGAGATGCTGGCCATAGCCTGGGACATCGGGCAGCGAGTGTCCAGCAGCAGGAGGAGGCCCAGGGGCGCAGTGGGTGGCGGCGACTCAGCTCCCAGACAGTACCCCTCCCTGTCCAGCCGAGTCGTCAGGGTCGGCCTCGCCCACTTTCAGCGCTCCGTGACTCCAGCCCACCACCTGCAGTGACCCCTCGGGCCCGCGATGGCTGTGGTTGTCCGGGTGTAAATATGGGCACTTGCTGTGAGCTGCCCACCGGCTGCCGAGGGCTGAGGGACGCCCTGGTCCCTGAAGGAGGCGGGCTGCCGGATCCAGGTCCTGTGCACGGTGTGGGCACAGAGCAGGGAGCGGCGGGCTAGACAGTGACACCCTGTGAGGCACAACGCATGGCCGTCTTCTGGGCTCACGGAGAGACGTTCCTGAGTGCACCAGGCATGCACGCCTGTGGTTGGGGCCCGGCAAAGGGTGGGTCGTGGCATCGGGCCCCAGTCAGGGCGCTGTCTCTCTGTGTCTCTGTCTCTCACTCGTGGAGGACATCAGTGAAACTGTGGAAATATGTCCAGGCAGAGGTGGAGATGGACATAAGATGGGACCGCCTGTTAACAGCCCAGACGTGGCGAGGCTGAGCCCTCACGGAGCCGTCCCTGGATCCACCTGTGGGTCCGCCGAGCTGGAGCCGAAGCTGGCACGGGCTTGTCCTGCAGAAGGAGGCCCGAGGCAGAGGATGAGTGGGCACACGGCCCGGCCTCTGGTTCTGTTACGACCTGTGGTCAGCGGGCCTAGTGTGTCATTTGGTGTGTATTTTTAAGACTTCGCTCAAGACGAGAGGAAGGAGAGTAACATTTTGTGGTTTTGAGACTTAAAAAAGAAACCCCTGCCTGGGCCCCAGCCTGGCCCCGTCCTGTCCCCGCTCGCCCTGTGTGCACCGTAGTGGGGTCTGCGGTGGCAGGACCAAGGGTCCTGGTTGAGGGCAGGCCCAGTCCCCTGTGGAACGTGTGCACACGCACCCACCCACCGTGGGCACACGTGGGGGACCAGGACCCTGTGTCCTCAGCTGCCCACCTCACTGAGGTGCCGTCCTCCCTAGTGTCCCTGAAGGAGAGGGGGGACAGTGCAGCTCAGTGTGTGGCACCTCAGCTCCCAGCACATGGAAAGAGCCCGCTGCGCTCTCCCGACCCCAGCCTGACCCCGGAGCATCTTCTGCCCCCCTCGTCCCCTCTCCAGCCCAGGAGGGACTCGGGCTCCTCTGGCTCCAGGCCACCACACTCGTCGGGCAGCCTGCTTTTCCTCGGGGGCCCTGAGAGGACTGGGTGTGGGGAGACGGTGTGGGTGCCTCCCAGGGACAACCAGGGACGGCGCTGTCAGGAAGCAACCTCACGGCCTTTTGGTGCCTCAGTCCCTTGGCCCACACTGGGGGTGGCTGTTCAGACGCCCCAGGGAGCTCCCGTCTTCCCTAACGTGTGGTCCCCGAGGCGACCACAGCTGACACTGGCAGAAGCCGCAGGACACCTGGTTAGTTCTCGCCATCCCCAGTGGCCACTCTTGGCTTCGTTGTCCTGCTTCTGTTCTCCCCAGACTGGGCAAGGGGGCCCTCATGTCCCAGAGGGAGGGCTGTGGCCGGCTGGCCTGGCTGAGGCTGGGACGTGTACGGTGCAGGCAGCAGGCCTGGGGACCCTGGAAAGGCAGTGGGGCACAGGCTGGCCTCTGTGCTGGCTGCTCCCTCCAGAACCTGGTAGACCTGGTGCCCTGGGATGTGGAGCAGAATATTCAGGGCAGGTCTCAGCTTCCTGCTTTCCTGACTCCAGCTCAGGTGGAAAAGTGCTCGTTCAGCAATCCGCAGGGCCTCCTCTGCGGACACTGCCGGCCTGGCCATTCCGCAGCCCTGCAGAGAGACCGGGGGCTGCCCTGGAAGAGTGGCGGTGGGCAGCTGTGCAGGGGCAGGGCCTGACCTTAAGGAGGGCAGCTTGTGGACAGTGACCATTAGTGCCCCTCAGGGCAAAGGCCAGTCAGGATGAGGAGGAAGGAGGGCCTGGAGGGTCGGCGCAGGGTCGCACTTGGGGACAGTGAGCTCAGTGCCACCCTCACCTCCCGGACGGCAGGCAGAGGGGGAGCAGATTCAGGGGACTGCAGACTCAGGAGGAGCTGGGCCTGCTTGTCACACACTTCTGAAAGCTAGAGGCCAGAGGTCCTCGGGGTGGCTGTGGGTTCAGGAAGAAAGGGCTCCAGTTTGGCTTCGGAGGAACCTTCTCGAATTGCAATCATTTCAGATTCGCGGTAGTGAAGCTAGAGTTGGCCACCAGTTTCAGATTGGGACCCTTGGGTTCAGGCACAGATGGCTTAATTGGGGACCCCACGGGAACTGGGCCTGAGAAATCTGCTGCTCCCTGTACCCATTGCCGCGGGGACACGGCCAGGCCTGGCCGTGGGGTTTGGTGGGACCGCTCGCTTTTGGTGTATGTCCAACATGGGTCACAGGCGTGGTGTTGCCTTGTGTTGTGGTTTACAACTTTTTTTTAGTTTGTTCCCCCACCCCCCCATAGAGTACATGTGCTCATAGGAGAGACAGAGGAGATGTGAGAAACCACCCCTATGCCGCAATCCCTTCTCCGTTCTCTCAGGGTTTTGGACATGCATGCACACCCGGCGTGTTTCTCAAGCCACCGGTTCCAGGATTCGAACCACTGAGTTGGCCCTGTGGGATCCAGCCAGCCACCTGCTGGCCCCGTGGTTTGTCACGTTTCGTTTAGCGTCTGCATCTCGTGCACGTGTGCACTGTCAGCCGTGGTTTCTGCAGGGTCTCCCCTGGAGCTGGGGTGGGACCTGGCGGAGCAGAGGCGCTGCGGGAGGAGGGAGGAAAGACCGGGTCATCAGGCAGGCTGTCTCTGGGCCTGGGTACAGTGAACAGCACCTACCGAGGGGCCGGCTAGCTGGGAGGAAGTGTAGGAAACGTGCGTGCGTGGAGCGTAGTTGGTTTTACTTCTCCGTTACTTTAGCTCAGCTCACTGGGAAAACCAGATGCGAGCTGGAAGCAGTCATGGAAATTCTGCGCAGCCGTTCCCGGTAGGCCAGTGCTGTCCTGTCGGTGCGGCGGGAGCCTCCGTCTCTGTGGTCCTGTGTCCTGAGGAGAAAACCACTGGTCACCTCTGAGCCTTCCCCAAGACTCTAAAGATCACTCTGAGGGATCAGCCAGTGGCATGGGGGTTGGGGGGTTGGGCTCCCACATGGGTAGCTGTGCTTTAAGTCCCGGATCTAACGGTTTACTCTCTCACTTTCCCTCTCTCTCTGTTTCTCTCTGGTGAGCACACGTGCCCTATAGCAAACTTAAATAACAGTGATAATAATAAGTGAAACAAAATAAAAGAATCGATTTTTAAAATCACTTTGAATATTCCTGAGAGAAAGGTTCCTTCATGGTCACGCTTTGCCGGTAGTTCCAGTCTGTCTTTAAAATGAATCATGAGGCTGAGCTCATGACCTTTGTGGTTAAGGGAGTCCAACCCCACGTGGCCAGCCACAGTTCAAGTCCCTGCCCTGGCAGCTTGAAAACATGCCTGGCGCGTGCACGTGCACACCTGGAGTCCTAGCAGAGTGGGGTCATGGAGCGGACAGGATCGCTGTGTCCATGCTCCGCGGGGGAGCCCTTTTCCTCTCCCAGGCTCTCTGGCAAGCACATGTGACCCTGGCAGTTAAAAAAAAAAATTGTAAAATGGGGACCAGCAGTTGGCATAATGGCTATGTTGCTGGACTCCCATGTAAGTCGAGTGGTTCAAGTCTCGGACCCGGTGACTCAAACTCATGCCGGGTGTGTGTGCGTGTGTGCCCAAGATCCCAAGAGGAGAATGGGGGAGAAGGGATTGCAACATGGCCATCCCCCTAGGGGGTGATTTCTCGCTTTCTGTCTTTCTGGCAAGCGCACATGCCCTATAGCAAAAATCTCTCAAAAAAAAAAAATTGTAAAAAAATGAACTGGAATGTGAAAAATGGGAAAGGACTGAGTGTTTTGTTTTTGTTTTTTTGTTTTGTTTTGTTTTTGAGAGGTTTTTGCTATAGGGCACGTGCGCTCACCAGAAAGACAGAGAGAGACAGAGAGATAGAAAGCGAGAAATCACCCCCCAGGGGGGATGGCCACACCGCAATCCCTTCTCCTCCATTCTCCTCTCAGGTTCTTGGGCACGCACGCACACGTACCCGGCATGAGTTTAAGCCACCAGGTCCGGGACTCGAACCACGGTCGACTACATGGGAGTTCAATGACATAGCCATTACGCTAACTGCTGATCCCAAGGACTGAGTGTTGATATTACCATGTTTAATTACAGTATGGTGCACACAATCATAGTGAGTAGTTTGTGGGTGCACCGGAGGGTGCTTAGTGCAGAGACGCACAGGACCAAGTTTCTACCTGCTCCTTCCTGCCAGCCCGAAGGTGCCAGGTCCACCTGACCACGTTGCCAGGTGGCCACGAGCCTGCCCCTCCCATCCCTTGTGTCACCCAGCGAGGGCCGCACTGTCGTCCATGGTTGCTGCGGCCCTCCCAGGCTGGCTGGGAGCTGAGACTCTTCCCATCTCTGTCTGACCTGGCACAGCTCCTCCAGGCACCGTGCCCACCACAAGTGACCGGGGTGAGGGGGTGACTCAGGGTTTCTTAGAAAGAGGAATTCCACCGAAAAGTCCAGCCCAGAAATGGCTGCCGTGTATCTGCTGTCCTGGGAAGCTGCCATCTTCGTGAGGTCTGCTCGGTGACGCTGCTTCAAAAGGCACCGTGGAAGGCACGGTCTGGCAGCGTGGCCTCACCACTGCAGTGTCCGTTTTGAGTCTGTCGGAGACTCTCCCTCCTATCAGAAGTGCATGTTTTTAGAATTTCTGTCACCCTTTTGTTTTACTTTCTATATCAGATCAAAGAGGTAATTAAACAGCCCCACGGCTGAGGTAAGATTGTAAGTAGTGTGAAGGACTGCAGCTCACAGAGAACGGGGCACACTCCCCTCCCGGAGCGCGCCTACTCCATGGCCGCCACGCCCGGGTGCTGGGTGGCTTGTTTCTTCTTTTTAAATTCTCTATAGGTTGTGTTAGGGTATAGGATGTGCTCACTGGGGGTCGGGGACGGGGGAACTCCCAGGGCCATGGCCATGCCACTGCCCCTTCTCATTCTCCTCTTGGGATTTTGGGCACGCATGCACACGCCTGATGTGTTTCTCAAGCTGCTGGTCTGAGGCGAACCACAAGGTCAGCCAGAGGGGACCCAGTGCCTTAACCTCCATGCCACCTGCTGGCCCTTGGATTACATTTTTTTGAGTTTATTTCTTCACAGAGAAAGAGGGCCCCAGTGGGGTCCTGGTGCTGCGACCCACCCCAGCTGTAGCCAGCCCCAGACCAGGGGTGCTGCGTGTCCAGGGAGGCCTCGGCATGAAGCCAGGCTTTTCCCACGTGGGAGAGTCACGTTTTCCTCCTGCCACCACCTGGTCCTGTGGATTACACTTCGCTCCAGCCACAGGTTCTTTTGGCGAGATGGCGACAGTGAGTGTTCACATCTGGGGCCGGTGTGAAGGGCCGGGAGCCTTGCTTCGGGGCTCCTTTCGGACAGGGGCATGTTGTCATTCTTTGGCATTCACGTTGTGTTTCACCCTGTGCACGTGTTGTCTGTACACGCATGTCAGCGGACTTGCAGGGTCTCCAGAGCATTCCGACATGACAGCCTCATCTGGGCGTCTTGCACACGTGAGGTGTGACCAGGTCAGAGCGTCTGGACTGGCACCCACACAGGCGCCCCCCCCCCCACCGGCCCCCCCCCCCCCCCCAGGGCTTGGGATGTGGCCCCTGCCCCTCCCACATGCTGCGTGGCCAGCTCGCAACAGCAGTCTTCTCTGTGAGAGTGGCATTTCGCTTCAGCATGCGGGCCACCCCAGGCGGGCGTGTGGCAGCGCGGAGTGCACTGGGGGCCTCCACATGACCTGGGCCTGGGAGAGCAGGGTGAGCAGAAGGCCACGTGGCCCCTTGCCCTCTGCACCCACCACCGCGCTGGCTGTCATGCTGTTCCTAACCCCTGCTCGCAGGATCAGGGGTGAAGACCCAGGCAGGCCTGGTAGGAGGGGCTGGTGGAGCCCTGGCCCCTGGTTGGGGCTGCGTGTGTCAGATGTGCCCAGAGCCTATTTCTGTTCCTCTCTGTGTCACCTTAGCGAGGCCGCGTACCAGGCTTCACGTCACAGGAAGAGGGAGTTGTGACTCATGGCTGCCAGTGCCTCGGTGAGTGCCAGACACTTCACACAGGGCAATCGTGTATCCACAGAGCCGAGATGAGAGGGCACTTCCATGTGCCCACTTTCTGAGTGAGGGGACGGCCCAGCAAGGCCCCGTAACTCCCCCAGGAAACACACAGCATGGAGAAGCCAGGCCTGGGCCCAGGCCTTCTGAGTGCACCTGGCTCCTGCAGGTCCTAGTGTCTTCTCCACATGCTAAAAAACGCGCTTCTGGGGGCCAGCAGGTGGCACAGCAGTTGGGGTGCTGGGTTTCCACATGGCTGACAGCGATTCGAGTTCTGGACCTGGTGGCTTGCTCTGTCCCTCTCTCCCTCTCTCTGTGTGTCTCTCCGTGTGTGTATGTGCTCCATAAAAAACATTGAAAACAATAGTAAATAACATAATTATTTTAAAAAAGTAAGTAGGGACCAGCAGATGGCGTAATTTTGTTGGATTCCCACATAGCTGACTGTGGTTTGAGTCCTGGACCCAATGGCTTCAAACTCATGGCCAAGCGCATGTGCATCTGTGCCCAAAATCCCAAGAGGAGAATGGAGGAGAAGGGATTGCAGCATGGCCATCACCACGGAGGGTGATTTCTCACTTTCTGTCTCTCTGGCGAGCCCACACACCCTATAACAAAAGTCTCCCAAGGAAGGAGAAAAGGAAGAAAGGACAAAAATCTTCCTACTGTCCTAGGAAGGGTGTTCTGAGGGAGAGTGAGGCCACGTTTGCATAATCTAGGCGAGATGTGGGGCGCTGCCAGCCCCCCTCCTGTCCCCCCTCCTGCCCTCTGCAGGTGGGGAGCCAAGGCTGGGCCTCTTGGGGTGAGGGGAAACCCTCCTCTGTCTCCCGACTCATTTCCCTCTGTGCCGTGAATGGGCATTAGAGTCTTTTCCGGGTGTTACAAGGAGTCAGGTTGAGACCCGACATGTGAGGAGTGTGTCCTCTGCGGTCTTCATTCTGGTGACAGCTAATTATACCTGTGGGTTCATGCTGAGGAGGAAGAGGCCTCTCGACAGGCGCTCGGGCCTGGGCCCTGTGCGGAGGAAGCCAGAGTTCAGCTGTGGTTCTGTGGCCGACAAGAGTTAGACGTGCGTGGAATGCCCGCACCTGCTGCCACCTGTCACGCCATGCCAAGCAGCCATGGCGTCTGGACTCGTGCGTCGTTGGCCTCACGAGCGCGTCGCTTATTGAAGCAGCAAGTGCTTGTGTAAGGTCCAGAGAAGAGCCCTCCCTGGCGTTCCTGTTCCCCGGGGTGTTTCCGGCCTGCCGTGCCCTCCCTGGCCCTGGGAACAGGTCTCCAGCATGGCTGCTCACACGCAGGCACTGTGCTGGCCGAGAGGGACAGCGGCTGCTGTGGGGGAGGCCCCAGCACGGCCTCTGTAAGGCCACTGTGGTGGGAAACATGACCACTTCTGACCCCCGACCTGGGGGCCCTTGGCCACTGTGGGTGTCTGCTCAGGATTCAGAGGATGATGCTGAGGGCTGGGGGCTTGGATGTCAAGTGCGGAGACGGCCGTCTGGAGAGAGTGGGGACCAGCCAGGCCGTCTGCAGAGGGTGGGGCCATCCGTGAGGGGCCTGGCTGGCCCCCGTGTTGGCAGGGAGGGCCACCCACCTGCTTGCCCTCCCGCCAGCTGGCTTCGGGAGAAGAGCAGCGATGGTCTAAGTTCCAAAAGCCGAAGGAAAGCTGCAGGACCGTCCGAGGCACAGGGTGCCAGCCCGACGCCGCAGCCTCGCAGACACGCGGTCGTTGCTAAGCACGGAGGGCCACACAGCTGCAGACCCCACTGCGGGCCTGGATTGTGATTCGAGTTCTCTTGACCTCATCGATGGTGGTATTTGGGACTCAATCTGTCTTGAGGGTTCTCTCCCACACTGCGAGGGCGACAGCACGCCGTGGAAACCTTAGCGCCCACGTAGGCGTTTCTGTTCTGCTCACAACCGACCGTCAGACGCAAGCAAGCTGATGACTGGTGATGGAAAACACCAGGCCGTGGGACACGCCTTCCGCAGAGCCTCCCGGGTCCTGTTCCAGGATGCCCCTCCCCACATGGTAGACACGTGTGCTCTTGGGCAGGGCACCTGAGGCTGGCGTAGGTCGCAGCAGTGAGGCCCTGCTGGAGGTTCTGCCTGTCTCTCCCTCTCAAAAAAAATAAATGAATTTTAAAAATCTGTTTTAGATGTCTCTGCTTTTTCCAAATTGTCTTTTCGTGAAGATGCGCTGAAAGGATACAGCCCTGAAGTTAATGGACACCCAGGTGACGTGATTGTGGGCCTTCCAATGGCTCATTTTGATGACGTGATTGTGGGCCTTCCAATGGCTCATTCCGAAGCTTGTGGCTGTGGCGGGTGCTGGGGCCCCGCCCCGGCCCGGTGACTGCTGGGTCCCACTTCCCCTTTGTCGCTGGGCGAGTGGTTGCACAGCCACCCACTTCCGTCTATACCGCCGCCAGCAAGCCCACCGAGTCCCAGCAAGGGCCATCTCGGGGGCAGGCGTTTAAGCAGAGGTGGTACGAGCGCATTTGCAGGGCCTGTCCGGAACAGACGCCGAGGGTCCAAGGACGGGCGAGTCAAGGCTTACACACCCTTGTTTCTCTTCATTTTCAGGGGGAGGGTTTCTGAAGACGTCCTCGGAGAAGGTTTCAAGAGGCACGAGGTACAGGTAAGGCGTTTGTGTCCTGGTCGCCGTCCCCAGTTTAGCAAGGTCCCTGCCTCCTCACTGTGCTGGGACTCGCTGCGTTCTCCTGGGGCTGCGCTGGGTGGGCATTCCGGAACCCGCGAGTGGTCGTCGTTTCCTTCCCGTCTCGTTGCTGTTCCCCACTCCTCCTCATTCCGTCTCTCTTGGCTCTGATGACCCCACAAAGCCTGCGTTTCTCTCTCGGGGGTGTAGGGAGGCCGTCGTAAGGTGGTGTGCAAAGAGGGCTCCTGCTGCCATCCTGCCTTGGATTCGCGCCACTGTACAGTTTTGTGTCGTAGCTGTCAGTTTGCTGTGGGGTGTGTGCACCCGCCCGAGAGATGGGGCAGGCTGGGGGTGATGGAAATAGCCACGCTGCAGTCCCGTCTCCTCTGTTCTCTCGGGATCTTGGGCACGCGTGTGCACGTGCCCAGTGCGATTTTCAAGCCAGCAGGTCTGGGATTTGAACTGTGAAGTCAGCCATTGAGATGTGGCCATCTTAACCTCTACACCACCTACTGGCCTGTGATTAATTTTCGTGTTGGGGAATTCTAAACCATGTATTTCCGGTTTGGGAGGAAAGAGGAACAGCTGCCTTAATCTGTAGGAAGGCCTGTCCCTCACCCTCTCCTGTCACTCATGCACCGTGCTCGGGCCCTGTAGGATTCGTGGTCTTGCTGGCTCATCAGAGCCCGCTGCCAGCACGCCCTCCACATGCGCCCGGCCCACCGCCTAACCCGCTCTGCCAGGTTGGCAGGTGGTTCCAATTAGCACAGTTTCACTTCCAGGCAGGAGTGACACTTTCTGTGTTTTTTGGCTGGTTGTATGCATATATTTTTTATGATTTTCCTGAACTATGGGGGTGGGGGGGATCTGTGTTTTTGTCTTTTATTGTCGCTATTTTAATGAGAGCATGTGCACAAGAGAGAGAAAGAACAGTAAGTGTTCTTGACAGAAACCCAGGGTCTCACCCACCCACATTCCCAGGTAGAGGCCCACTGGTGCTCACCATCATGCCGGCCTGTTCAGGATGAGCTGGGAATCGAACTAGTGCTTGCATGTAGTCCCAGCCTGTGGAGCACGGTGCCCTAGCAGCATACTCCACCTCATGGAGCCTGGAGTATTTGTGAAGCTGGGAGAGTCTCATGCGGTGGGGAAACGAAGAAAGCAAATACGGGACCAGAAGGTGACATGGAGGTTGCGGTATGCAGGGTCCCACACGACTGGCCGTGTGGTTCAAGTCCCGAACTCAGTAGCTCCAGGTTCACTCCAGGTGCATGTGCACGTGTGCCCAAAATCCTAAGAGGAGAACGGAGAAGGGAATGATCGTGGCATGGCCATCCCCCAGGAGGTGAGTCCTCACTGTCCCTCTCCCCTCCCATGCTGTGTCTTTGGCGAGCACACATGCCCTATAACAGAAACTTAAAAAAAAAATGCCAAGAAATTGCAATTGCTTTAGCGTCTTTTCTGTCGTCTCACTCCCCTCCGGCCCCACACTGAGGACCCCAGCCTCAGCCCTGGTGGTGATTTGAAGCCTCTCCCAGTGTCAGTGGTGTCCGCGGGTGTGCAGGAACGTCTGTGTGCTGCGTTCCTGTCTGCTGCTCACCTGCCGCGGTGCACGCCCTGGCTGGATTGCTGGGTCAGCTGGTGCAGGCCGCTGTAACAAGCAGGTAGGCTTCAGTTCCTCGTCGTTCTGGAGGCTGGAAGCCCGCGATCAGCGTGGCAGATCCGGTGTTGACCGAGACCTCACTCCCTGGTTCCTTTTTCAAAATGATGCCTGAGGGTGTGTGCACTTGCTAGCGAGAGAAGGCACTGCTGTAGGGACCGTCCCTGTAGGGATGGTCACCATGCAGTCCCTGCTCCTCCATCTGCCCCTCCCTTAGGACCCTGGGCTTGCACACATGCACGCCTGGCCTGTTTTCCAGCTGCCAGCTCCAGGACTCCGACTGCACTGACCGTGAGGCCACAGGGGATCCAGCCACCTCACGCATGCCGTGGGCTGGCCCTGGCCCTGCACTGGCATCTCCTTGCTGTGCCCTCACGATTTGGGGAACTGAGGAGGCCCCGGGCTGGGCTCGGGCACGACCGGAGTTCGGACATGGCTGTACTCCCTGTCCTTGTGGGGAGACTGGAGGGGGAAGTGGTGTCCCTGGGAGTTCTGCCCAGTCTTCAGATTTCAGAGTTTGGAGCGAGGCCCTAATAGGACATCCCACCTGGGACGTTGGAGCCACAGCTCTTGAGCGGGGCACAGGGCGGCATGTCGGCGTGGGTGTGTGTGCTTCGTGTGCAGCACCTTCTGATTGTGCAGGGTGGTGTGTGCTGGCGCAGATAGACAGAGGCCTCAACCCGCTGATGTCATGAGTTAGAACTCCCCTGGGAGCTGTGCGTGGCTCTTGTTAATGACCGTTTGGGAAGAGAGGCGGGCTCTGACCTCGGCCGTGGGAATCAGGTCTGCAGACCCATTGGTAGTGCTGCGGGAGCCGGTGGCGCTGGGGCAGGGCCAGGTCTGGGAGGCAGGCGTGAGCAGTCACTCCTGGCCGGGCTCAGTCACATGTGCTGTGCTCCTGAATGGCAGGGTCTGGGCTGCACCAGGGAAAGGGCCTCAGAACAAGCTTGCTTTTCACCGAAAGCAGTCTGAGTAATCCCAGCGGACTCCAGCAAGGCCTGACGGTCCTCACTGGTTATTTACAGCCACCGGAAGGAGCTGCCGGCATCCCTCAGGCACCAGCGGCAGCTCTCGCTGACGTGTTCTCTTGGGCACATTCTCCCTGGGGCACTTACCTCAGGGTTACAGGGATGGCCTTAAACCCTCTGTTCATTCTGTTGGCATTTTGTTTCGTGTGTGACATTTTCTGTCCCCATCGTCTCCAGCTCTAGCCTTGGTCTGCTAACCAGACATTTGTGTCCCCTACTCAGAAGGGACTAAGTCACAGATGTCTACACACAGATGCATACATACATATAAACACACATGTATACCGACACAGTTATACACATGTTCACAGATGCACAAATGCACACACACACAGTTGTACATAGAGATACACAATGCACATATATACAGTTGCACACATACACAGTGCACACATTGCCTAAACACACATGTGAATGTATATACCAATGCACACACATGTATGGATACACCTGTCCACAGGTACATACACAAGATGCCGAGATGCATAAACCCATGCTTACACAGGTGCACACGTGCACAGTGCACTCATGCATACACAGAGGCACGCATACGCAGATGGAGATAACACATGCAGACTCATGGCCCAGCAGGGCTGTCATGGGGATGTCTCCAAGCCAACTGCTGCTCTGGGCTATGAGCACAGAAGAGCTGGCATGGGTGTGGATAAGGGAGACGGCGGCCATGGGGGTGCCTTGGAGCACAGGACCACCCTGGGAAAGAGCCAGCACCAGCAACCCCCGGGGAGAGCGTTCTGGAAGAGGCGACAGTGTGAACAAGGCTGTGAGGCAGCCTCAAGGGGCCGTGTGTGGGAGGAGTACGTGGGGGAGGCTGGCGGGTGGCCACGTGGACATTGCACCCGAGACCTGAGCTGCTGCCCGGGGCCTGCCGGGTACTGCACAGGCCCGTGTCTACAGAAGTCTTGGAACCCCGAGTGCGCTGCTGTCGGGCCAGGCTCTGCGTGCACATGGCCCTGCCCTCCCTGTCTCAGGACGCCCCCATTGTGGGTTGTGTCTGCTGCTTCTGCGTCCACCGAGAAGCTGTCTTTGGGTTGCGAGGAGCCAGAACCTCCTTCCTCTTCAGTTTGATGTGGTGGGTGGGAGTGTAGACACACACTGCTGGGGAGTGTGGTGGTTCCCCTGCTGCTACGAAGGGGCACCACTGCCAGCCGCCCTCCTGCCACCCGAGACAGCCTCAACTCTTGCAGCCATTTTTGCTGTCTTCTTTCAAATCGGTTATTCTTACATTTCCCCACTCTCCGGTTTTGGACACTGCACAACATGGACGGTGAGGACTGCCTTCCCGGGCTCTCATCCCCTGCTCAGCTCACTCCTCTCCTCCCTCCGCATCTTCCCAGTGGAGTTTTTTCTTTTGTCACTGGGGCTGCACACTGGGCCCCTCTGATTACATTTCCACTCACCACTTTTGCTTCCCCCGGGGTTAATAATTGCTTCACTTTGAGTGTGCGTGCTTCATTTCTGTATCTGCTCATTTATCTGTAGACTCTCTGCCAGAGCTGTAAAGCCTTTATCTCTGCACACAGACCTGCCCACACACCCAGCAATCTTGGTAACCTCTGTTGCGCACCTTCGGGCCCTCTGCCTCCTGCTGCCTGGATCCCTGTGTCCGTACATGTGTGTGCATTGGTTTGTGCATTCACCTGTGTGTTTATGGATGTGTGCACCTGTGTGTGTATGCAACTGTATATATGTGCATTGTGTATCTATCTGTACAACTGTGTATCTGTGAACATGTGTATAACTGTGTCGGTGTACATGTGCATTTATGTGTATGCATGCACCTGAGCAAGAACGCACGTGTGTAAGAACGCGGAGAGCTTGAGGTGCGAAGTGTGCGTCTGCACGTGCACAGGTCAGTTTGGCCAGGACTGTCTTCCTCGGACTGACCGGCGCTGCGGGCCCCTGGCTCCCCTGCGTGCCTGCGTCGTTGGCTGTCCCCAGGGCTCTGCGGTTAACTGCTGTGTGGCCTGTGTCCTCTCGGCAAGCCTTCAGATCTTTCCTCGGCCTCCCAGGGCTCTCGGATTGCAGGTGCTGGCTCTGGTGCCAGCCCACCCTTCTCATTCCCTGTGCTGCTGGGCACGTTCGTTCTGAAAACAGCTCTGCCTGGGGCTTTCCTCCTTACGGTATTTCTCCAATGACTGCTCATCTTTTGCCCCCTTTTCTGGGACTCTGCCTAGACCCATCCCCCAGTTTTCTTACCATTCCTCTTGGCTGTGGCATCGTTCAACTTTAAAAAAAAAAAAAAAAAAAAAACACCTCCGCTTTCCCTCCCAGGC